TTCATGCAGGGATTGGTTTTGGATTGATCTACCTCCCAGCCATAGCGACTGTCGGTCACTGGTTCAAACGTCGGCGACCTTTCGCCGTGGGATTGGCACTCTGTGGCAGCGGGGTTGGCAGCATTGTGGGAGGTCAGGTTCTTCCCCTTCTACTTCAGTGGTTCTCGTGGAGTGGCACTCTCATTGTTCTCGCTGCCTTCTGCATGCAGTGTCTGGTGAGTGAAACCTATAGCCGCGTTTTTAGACCCTGTGTCACACATATGTGACACTTATTTCCTATCCACTTTTAACAAGTTTTTATCCCCAAATCGTGTCTCACACGTCGATCTACCCACCCGTATTTTAAATACAGGAATATGAAGGGTAATTACAATTCCAGAAGGTGTTCCACTCCATCCACTCAGTGATCGTGTAACACCTAAAGGTATTCCTCGTTCTGCAAACCACATTCTCCCTTTTCACGGTCGCTGTACTTTCCAAGGCACCTCCTTTTATCCACCCAATCACTTGACCTACCTACGATGACATGAGAATTTGCCGAATGATCACCAATACTTGTTTGAAGTCCACTTTCCTCTCCACCGAATAGTAGCAGTTTTCAAGGTCACGCAAGACCACTTTGTTTTGCTTCCAAGTGTCCTCCTCCAGCCAATTGCCTTGTGGTCACAGGATTATCCTCAAAAAGAGGCGCATTCCTTCAGCGATGGAAAGCTGTTGAAGGGCAATTGAGAGGTTTCACGACTGACAGTGGCGTGGTATTGAGTGACCCTCGTCCTCCAAGTTGGAGGGCAGAGCGGGGCTGAGGTGGTGGGGGGCTTCAAAGCACACCAGCCTTGCAAAACCTGTCACAATTGGACCCGTGATGTGGTGAACAAGAGGCCTGGGTGGTTTGTCCAACAAATCGGTGTTATCAGGGCAGCAGACCTCCGTCATGGGAACAGCACGTGAAGTGATAAACAAATCCAGTCACACACACCACCGTCTTGGTAAAATGGACCCACCGTTTGGCGATAAGTCACACACACACACACACGCACACGCACACACACACACATACAAACGTGTCTCTATGAGCGTGGATTGAATGCTAGGTAGGTGGGATGTTGTACAACCCTGCAAACTTGCCACTGCCGATCGTGAACACCACACCGTCTGCAATCAACTAGTCAGACATGCAATTCCCTCTTCGACCCCTCGGAACTCGTTTCACCTCACTTTACTTCAAATCACATGTCGACACACTCCTTTTCGTGCCTCAATTGGAAATTTTGACATCAAAGGCAGCAGCGACTGCAATGTGAGGCACTGAGAGCTGTCAACAACACTGACTGTCACTACTTGTGACTGCAAATAACATCTGCACGAGGTTGGACTCCTCAAGTCGTCGCATCCCACTTCCATGTTTGAATGCGATTATCAGTCAGGCTGGTATTCCTCTAGTCCATTCGGAAAGCGCGGATTACTTCACCCTCACCACAGCAGCCCTCCAATTTGTCAAACAGCTGACACGTTCGGGGCTGATTAGAGAGGGGAGACCAAAGGGTCGCCTTCAATTCAGTCGCCTCTTTATTCCATGCCTGTGAGTTGAGGTGGTTTTAAAGTGACATTGGTAGTTAGTCAGACAGAAAGCTGGCATTGCCAACACTTGTGGAAGGTTAAGTGACCTTACTTCCATAAAGGTCATCCCTGACCCGCCAGTCACGACCACCTGAAGATGCAGTTCATCAGCCCACCCACATGTTGTAGCCAACCTCATATCCACCTACTGGAGCTTCTTCCTCCCAACATGTTGTTCTGCAGTCCAGGCACACTCTGATGCCTTCACCACAAATCACACCAATCCAATGGAAGGTGGAGAGCACTGAAAGGAACTACTACAGGCCGGTTTCATGAGGGTATGTTCAAACTGGTGATGCCGAGGTGACGACTGACAGCAATTGATTCTGTCCAAATGTGTCACTTGACCACCTTTACCGAGCAGATTGCACAGGCCTGTAATCGCATCGAAGAGGTGTCAAGACGACCACGTCCTCATCTTCGTCGTCGTCAACATTGATGAATGCGTTCAAGAACAAGCCATTCACTGATTCCTCACAACCATTGACAAAGGAAGTGTTGAAGATGAGGTGGAGAGCTGAGCACGACTGCTGGCTCTAACTCTTACAACCCTCTCCTTTCCAGGACAGTGACAAGATCAGTTCAGAAGGACGTCTGCACTGAAAATGGTGACCTTTGCTCCATGCACGCCATGTCGTTGAGGTATCAAGTGGGCGTTCAATGATGTCGCGATTCACCCTCCTCCGAAATCCGCTGCCAAATCACGTCCAACCACTCTACTGCCATTCCACCCACTGACTGATTGACTGACTGACTGAATGATGCATTGACTGAACAAGTGGGAGGGTGGGTGGGTGGGTGGGTGGGTAGATGACTTTGAATGCTCAGCCAATTCAACTCACACCAATTCCTACCAAACTGTCCATCAATCCACAATGTTCCATCCAAACGAATTCGACAATTTTTGGCTTCTCAACAACCCCATCTACACGAACCACCCACACATCGTGTCCTCCTTCTCAAGGTCACGTTTACAATGACCTCGTTGGCCTCTCATGATATTGCACACTTGACAAACTGACATCGCTGACATCGATGTTCAACGTGGAATGGATGGGCAGTTGACTTTCATTTGAGGGCACACGTGTGCTATTCTACAAGCAGAAAGCACCAGTGAAGTGGTTGATGAGGTCGTGCGGATGTTCACCGCTCGCATGCAACACGCTGTCGTCCTCATCACACTGGTTTTCGATCACACCTTCAACGAGTGCATGTTGTGAAAGCAGTTGACACATCCCCATCCACCTCAGGTGCTGGTTGAATTAGCACCAGTCGTAGCAACGGCAGTCGTCGAATGGTTGTAGTGACTCCTCTCGGACCGTTTAAACCAACCAATCGAATCAGTGAATGCGGCAAAGGCACCTCCTTCTGGCTTGTTAGGTGGACAAAAGGATGGATTGGCAGGAGATGGGTGGACGGGAGGGAGGGAGGACTTGACTGATGCTTTGATTGACAGATTGGTTGGCTCTGCATTTTGGCA